TATATATATATATATCCTCCTTTCTCGTCATAGTTGCAGCTGGCAAATGTGTAAATACATGTGGGAAAGTTGAGGACTTGGAATGACAGCTACATACAGTAAGATGACGTTTCTTTTAGAGTCACATGACTCTTTTACAGTAAGTCCAACATGGCAGACGGAGTGGATCTTACGCGGTAACTAAAGCAACATTTTAACTGAAACAGAAATTGAAGACTACTCTGCAACAGGACATTCGCAATGAGGGAGAGACAGAAGAAGAAGAAGGGGAGGACGTGGGCGGAAGCAGCGAAAACGGTATTCTTGGTGTTTTATGTAGCGTTTGTTGTGGTTGTTTTCCTTGAACGCTCCCACTTGTACAACTGTGTTTATGAGTTCACGACCTGCTGGTGAAGATGAAATGTTGCGTGCACCGCGCAAGGCCTGTGTTGACGGTTCGACATTTGGAAAGACCGCTGTCACTACTAGCCTTGTAGCTTTCATCAAGTGGCACCTCAAAGCATAAATACAGCGAAATAAATATAAGTCATGTGCACCCAAGCATGCCTCTGAACCCACTGTATGTGTTTTGTGGGGATAGTAAGGCTGACAGGTCTCGTAGGATATTAAGTCCAATGAAGTAACCGTGAAGTAATCACGCCAATGTTGCGCGCTAGCGCGACTAGCATGGGCTAACGCCTGCTAACGCCTGCTAACGCAACTCTGTTCGTCAACAAGTTTGATTTGTATTATTTGGAAATAAACCACTACAAAACCTCCTGTTTCCGTAGTTAAAGCAACCCAAGAGCAAACTACTTAACTACAAAATCGATGACAAAGTCGGTCTAGTCATGCTAGCGTTTTGCAAGAGTACAATATATGTTGTTAGCATTGAGCTAGCTGACAGCATAGCATGCTAACGAGTATAAAATTATCAAAACGTCCAATAGTAATTTATAATTTAAGCACATTGCAATCGGCTGTAACGCCTTGCGTTAGCTTCATACAGGTATTTACACTTAATAGTTTGCGCATAGTGTGTAGTATGCTAACTGCATAGAAAATAAATAGCGATAACGTTTGTAGGACTCATAAAGTTATGTTTCATTGCAGTGCTCAAAACACTAGCTAAAGTAATTCAAGGCTTTTCGAGAGGGTTTGGGAAAAGTGTAAGCGCTACATCTTAAGGTCACCCATAGTAGTTTTTTTAAATTACCGATTTAAAGTTGCTGATATGTTGTTGTTGTTGTTGTTGTTGTTGTTATTATTATTATACTGTTATGAGAAGCTTTTATTGTCATGTTTTTTTTTCAGCCAACACTCAGAGAAGTGAGATGTTACAGCATAAGGTGGTGCATCCACCTCAAACCCAAATGAAACTTTAATTTACCACCCCTTATTTATTACTGTGCATTTTCTCCAGAGATTGCAAAATATTCATGCCAAATATATTTCTAATAGTGGAAAAAAGAAAGAAATACAAAACACAACTGTGCTGTGCTTGTTGACTGGATCATTTTAACCATAGTACAAACTAGTTGAGTTTTTGCATAAATTGCTCAGGCTTTAAGCTAAGATTGAGGAAATCGTCCTGGATCAGGCAAGTCTTGCATCGAAAATCAATAAAAATCAAGACAAAAACCCTAAAAAGGCACACAGTCATTAGAACAAATAACAATTAGTAGATTAAAAAAAAGCTTCAAAACCTTTGCCACTTCTCTGTCAGTTAGTCATGAGCACTTTGCAGTTTAACTGACAGAGAAACAAATGGATATTTACAGTGGTTATACTTACATAAGGGGAGCCTGTACCTCCTACTACAGATAAAATCCTGTTAGCTTGCCGAACAGTACAGAAGTATCTTGGTGAGTGAGGAGTGTTGTTCCTGTGGTTATTTATTTTAATTTAATTTTACTGATGTGTAAAAAATGTGATATCTTTAATGAAGTAACCTTTGGGCTGCCTCTTAATTTCTGAATATTTTTCCTTTAAATAATCTCTCAGCAAAATATAATCATCTGCATTTTTATTTTCTAGGTTCTGGAGAAGTACCCTAATACACCTATGAGCCATAAAGAGATCTTGCAAGTGATCCAAAGAGAAAGACTTAAGGAAATAAGGTACACAGGTCCTTGTTGTCATAGCTTTGGAGCTGCAGATACACTTCATATCTGAGACATTTTCATGAGAGCACAACAGGTGTCATCTGTCATTTCTCAGCTGCTCATATCATGTGCCTTTTTGTTATTCACATAGTCACAGTTACTTTACTCAATTAATAATTGTTTTATTTCTTTTTGTTTCACTTTCACTATTCTCATCCAGAAGGTAAGAAAAGGTAGCCCCCACCGCTTATCTTAACAAACTCACAGCAATGCAGGTTTGTTTGGAGTTGCCTTTTTGCATGTTAATAGGAATAACATGTTCTAGGTGAGGTTGCATAAAAATGCAATGCTACGTTCATAGTTTGAGCTTCCACAGCCACCTGTTGCATAAAAATTACATTTTCTTTTTTTTTCCGAGTAATTAACAAAATAAAAATTAGAAATATTTAAGCATAACTAGAGTAATTTCCCAAAAATTAAAAATAGACTTTTGTTTTTTCTAGTAATTATATTGTTCAAAGCCTTATGTGTTATACTGTGTAAAGCAGCACAAATGCAATTTGACAAAAAAGAAAAAGTAAGGTTCAATTTGTCAGTCTAGATTTGTGCATGACTTAAGCAAAGCTTGACAGATTAATTTTTTTGCAACAGGCATTTTTATGTCAGACCCCTTTATTCTGTGAATATCGGTCCATCACTTTAATTAGATGAGCATTGGATCAGTTTTCTGCAGCTGATTTCTCATAAAGCACAGAGCAAATTTCCCCTCTAACTGCACTGATGCAAATCTGACCTAAACTCACACATGTTTTCCTGATGCATGATAGCAGCTTCTCCCAAGTTACCAGACCAACCTCTCCCCTTCCTTCGTCTTTTCCCAGCCATCTGATTTATGGGGGAACAGATGTGTAAACTGTGTTTTTCCTCTTGTGATCCAGCGGAACGTCACCGCTGGCGTGTCTGAATGCAATGCTGCACACGAACTCTCGTGGTGAGGAGGGAATCTTCTACAAAGTTCCGGGCAGAATGGGAGTCTACACATTAAAGGTTTGTGAGACACAAGGCACTGTTTATTACTCAGCCAGTACAGGAAAAAAGAACTAGCACATGTTTTTCTTTGCTAATTGCAGCTTTTCGGGTACCTGGACACAAATTAAGTTATGAATGTACATGCCGTAGCTGGTCATTTTCTTATTTACTTCTGCTTAACTGTTCCTCCGCTCTGTTTCCTGCATAAAAATAACATGGAGTCTTTTGCTCTGTTTTTCATATAGAAGGACATCTCAGATGTGGTGAAGGAGCTGTCGGAAGAGGGCTCTGAGGAGAGCAGTGACAATCTTTCTGACTCTCGAAGCTCAGAAAACAACAGTAGTGCTATCAGTCAAGAGGGCAGGAGAGGAAGGTGGATGCGAAGAGGTATTGTGCCCTTGCATACAGGTTCTTTAATTAACTTACACATGACCATAAATTTTAAAGTCACTTGTTTGCAATGAGTTTCCAGACATTTCTTTGTTGCAAGATAATTTGGTCCTACCTTTACTGCTACAACATTAATATGTGCTGTCTGTTTGTAATCTAATTTGTAATTATGGCTTTTAAAAAAAAAAAAAAGTACTCATTGTAATTATCATAACTTACCATTGCAATGAAATACTTCATAACACAAAAATGTGTGCTTTATATGAAGTATTTTTTTATTTAGCTAAGAATGATGAAGATTTTAGCTGTAACTGTGAATTAACATAATTGATGCAAAGCAGTAAATTCCGTTAAAGTAAATATTTGATAAGCAGGCTACTCAGCATCACATTTCAGACATGCCAAAAATTTTGTTGTACCTGATGTCTCAAATACAGTTTTGGTAGGTCTTTTAGTTTTAAGTGTTCACCAGGAATTCTCAGAGGGTAAGAAAATCATATTCTATCAATATGTAATGAGTATTTGTTTTTTAACTTGTGACAGCAGACTGCTCAAACATTATGGTCCAAGTCAGTGTATGAACTGTACCAGTGTATACTTGTAGTGGATGAAATTTGCAGCTGTAATTTTGAAATGCACTGCAGGATGGATGATTTACTCTACTGAATAGTAGACTACAGAGTGAATAAATGGGCAGTTTGAACAGTCAGATTGTCTGCCATGAAGAAAGGGTCTCATTCTTAATAGCTCGATTACATGTTTAGCTTATATTTCCTGCAGATTTCAAACAAAATTATCCATCCATCTTCCTCTGCTTATCCAATTTCGGGTTGCAGTGGGGCTGGAACCTAATCCAGCTATTACAGATGAAAGGTTGGGTACACCCTAAACAGGTTGCCAGTCTATCGCAGAGCTAGTTGATGGAGCCGCACAACCATTTGTGCTCACATTCAACATTACACCTTAGATTTCCAGTAGAACTAACTCAAACTAGCTAACCTGGTTAAACTAGTTTTAGTTGCATGTCTTTGGACTATGGAAGGAAGCTGGAGTTTGCAGTGAGAAGCTGATTTTAGATATGAAATCTAATTAACTTTTGCGCATAAGATTTTGGAAGTACCCATCATATTCTTTTAACACTTGAATATCATTATAATGTATCAGTGCAATCTCTGGAATGTTAACTATTTCCCATTAAAACAGTTTTAATGTGTTTTTTTTCCTGAAAATAAACAAGAAGGTGATATGAGAGACACAATAAAGCACATTTTCAGCGCACTTAAAAATGTTCGAGGCACTTGGTTTTTTGCTTCTATATCTGTCTCTCCTTGCAAGAATTAACAGTAATCACCCTTCATCCTCGGATTAAATTTTTCCTGATATCAGTTTTCCATCACTTTAATATCTTGATTAAATTTTTCACCATGCTCATCACTGACATCGCTCAGATTTGATGGAAAGAATGTTGACAAAACAATAACATCATATCATTAACTGATATGATTTCAGCATGTTAAACACAAGTTCTCTGCTCTGAGATTGCCAAGAAAATTCTGGCTACTTGCACAAATGTTTCCTATGCTGCTGATCCAGCTGGCTACAATTTCCTTTCAAACTCATCGTCAAGCATCAGTTCACGGATTTCAGGACTAACAAAAACATCTTTGTTGATTTTGGCTTCACTTTTCTCGAGACCAAACTTACATCTTAAATGTTGAAACACATTGCTGTGTGTGTTCAGTCATCCCAGTTGTCCAGTACTTGGAATGGCTTAACCAGATGAAAATGGTTTTCAGATTTGGGGTCAAAAAGTACATTTTGAAAAACAAAACACTTGTTGATCAGTGTTATAGATTTGAAATATGTCACCATTATCTAACTTCCAGACCACCTATATAGATTAACAGTGAATACTACTTAATAAAGCACTGAAATATGTCTTTACTAACTCCTTAAACACCTTTAGATGCAACCCCTGTTGACATTTATTAAAGAGTGAGCGTGTGTTTTTTGCTGAAGTGTCATCACTGTTCATCAGTCAACAGAGAAGGAAAAAACCCCATCAACAGATCATAATGCAATAAGGTTTGGCTTTTTTTTTTTTTTTAGGTGATTGTAGCTGATTGGTTATGCCAGTTAGAGTTAACACCCCCCTGTCAGCTGATGATGTAGGTTATTGTGGAAACACCGGAAACTAGCTCAAGTCGCATTAGACATGCCAAGTTGGAAAGTGGCTTTACCACAAACATAAAATACACCACCTCATCAAAAACATTTCCTGGAATACACGCAGCACTGAACATGATGATAGCGAAAGGTGGGTTTTATCTTTGAGCTTTACTTTGTCCTTAATGCTGTCTGATAATTGTTCACCAAGAGCCTGCTGGCAGCGCACAACAGCCACATTACAACGGTTTCTGATCTTTTGTGATTCTGTGGGGTTAAGATATTGCTTTATTGTGAAATGAACACCTGATTGTGCCTGATTGCAATGCGGTTTGAGAGAGGGAGCTTTTCATCAAGTGCCAATTATTTTGTTTTCCTCAGGTTGTGGTCTTACCGATTCTTATTATTTCTCACTGCCACTTGAATAACTTAAGTGACGGTTAAAACAGGAAACTGATTTTTCTCAGTATGACCCGTGACCACTTCCTCATTATGCACAACTTAAAAGTACCAAGCAAATAACCTTGGTTTACAGCTGAGTAGGAGGGCTCTGATATTGCTTTATTTTTGAAATAATCGATGCAAAGGACTGCAAAGTCAAATGCAAATTAGGCAGCACTGGGAAGGAACTGCTGCAGAATGTAGAAAGATGTTCTGTAAGAAACAGAAGGCAGATAGTAGGAGGGGGATTGTTCTGAAGTTGAGCTCATTTTTAACAATATGATATTTTAGTAAGGTAATGTAATCTGCTTCTTTGTCTACAGAATTGGTTTCAGTTTCGCCAAAACAAAAGCACAATGTTATAAAGTCTGCACACCGCCCTCAGGAAATGTATTTGGTAACATCTGTTTTGTGCTTCTGTATTTCATAGTTCCCTCCAAGCTGCAGTCACAGCCGTCGTCTCCACAGCCTCGATGCTCGTCGCCGTCTGTCCCCACCAGTAAGCTCATCTCTCCCTCGCAGAAACACAGCAAGAAAGCTTTGAAACAGGTACAGCAAACAACATATATTTCTTGTTGTTTTTCTTTTTTAAACATACATTTAAGTTGTTAACTTATCCTCCCTACTCAGATGAGTAACATGAGTTCCTGCCACACCCCACTCCCATATAAATCACTCCCTCTGTGTTCTGCACTATGCAAATCCACCCTTTTGTTTTTACATCGGTATACAGAGTGTGGAGTCTTAGACTTGGGCTCTTTATGGGCTACAATGAGCAATTAAATTTGTGTGATTATGTTCATTACTTTGTTTTAATTGGCAGCATATAACTCAATGGTAGTGTTTCAGCTGGTGTTCTTTGTTTTTTTTGTTCTCTATTTGACATCTTGCTGATTATTTCAAACATCAGGGAGAAATGCCTGTAGCTGTTTTTTTGTTGTTTTTACAGTATTAATGTTTTCAAAGAACCCATTTCCCATTGGCTGTCTTTTGCCTTTTGTGTTCCATTTAATTAGATTTAATTTGATTGCACACATTGTAATTCACTCCATCTGTGCTGGTGTGAATTTGTATTCATTATTTGGGCGTAGATGGCGACTTGGCTGAAACATTACTGGACGGATCTGTTTATTGTTTCCTATTTTATATCTTATTGTGGTGGACCTCCTTTCTTTGCTTCTTTAAACGTGTAGAGAAATTTGTGACAAATTTGATCTGACTTGTTCTCAGATTTACAGCAAGGCGAGGATTTATGCCTCTGTTATGCAACCTATGTTCCATTGCTCTGCTGTTATTTAGCTGTTATTTAACCAGGCAAGTGGCCCTTGGGGAGCAATTGCAGGGAAACAGAGGGTTACACATATTCACACTCTGTTTTTCTCATACTGCTGGCTATTTGCGTCTTTCTGTGTTGTTCATTTTAAGGCCCTAAAGCAGCAGCAGCAGAGAAACCAGCGTAGACAGGGGGGAATGCCAACCTCCTCCAGTCCAAGACTGCTTCTGAAAACCCTTAAAGACATGGCAGATAACATTACAACAAAAACTGGTAGGTGGTAACTCTTACATTGCCAAATTGTTGGATAGTTTACTGATGTTAATTGCATGATATTACTCACAGTTTTGTAGATAGATGATGGATAGTGATGTAGTTCTGGGAATTATCCTGTTTATTATTGCAGGTTTTTATAGCTAGACTACAAAAGGTTATGTATCATCATCATCCAAACATGACTCATATAATTGGCAGCTTTAATGTGGAAACTGAAGCAGTCGGATCTCTGGCTTTCATTTCTCAGAGCATTTCCTTTAGCTCCTCTTCTTCTTTCCAAACAGATTTATGCCACCCAGTCGTACCCAGAAAGGTTCCCCAAAGGTCCAGTCGCCTCAGTGCAGGTAATTCAGACAACTGCTTTTATTTAAATCAGTTGTGTGGAAATTTTTATGATTTAATTATAATATTTAACAGAAAAAAGTTAGCAATTAGTAGTTTCCCTGTAGTCCTGCTTTGTTTTTAAGAAGCAAATAAAAATACTCTTTAGGACAGTTAGGAGCACAATGGCACACAATAACAACCTCTTAGTGTATTTTAAATCACTCCCACATTAATCAGCCTGATAGCACAAATATCCATTAGTATGCCACAAACAGTCACACACGCACTATTAATTCATATGTGAGTGAAATTTTCTAACATCGGGTTAACCAAATTATTTACAGTAAGAATTTTTGTTTCGAGTGTTAAGAATAATCTGACAGTTGGGTTTAACTTTATATGTTCAGCTTTTCTGTGTCTGCTTGTAATCTAGAATTAATTGTCTGCATAGTTATTTCTTAGGTGTAAGTAAAATTATTCTACTTTGACAGAAAACAGTTAAGTAAAACAAATTATTTTACTACATTTAAAAGTGAACTACATAATTCACAGTTGTTTCTTTGCATTATTGAATCTCCCTTGGTTTACATCTGTTTCCTGTTTTGTTTGTATCGCAGGGCAGATAAAACGTGCCAAGTATAAAATAGACGTGGAGACGCCAGACTCTATTTTGGTTAACACCAACCTGCGAGCAATCATCAACAAGCACACTTTCTCTGTCTTGCCTCCAGACTGCCAGCAAAGGCTGGTCAAACTTCTGCCAGAAGTAGACCGCCAGGTAGCCCTAAAATTATACATATGTTATAATGTTTGCTATTTATATTACATTAAATGTAAATGTGTAAGTAAAATTGTTGCTGTGTGCAGTATCTGTCAGTCATTATTTGATATATGCCTCATAAAATATCTTTTTAATCTCTGTAAAACATTTGTATGATTCTTGATGCAAATTCTATATCATAGGCAGAATCCAAATAAGGTCAATGTACCGATGCAGTGATGTTGATCGTCATGCTATTAGTCATAACATTGTGCCTTCTCTCCTCAGGCTTGCATGGACGGCCTTCTGAAGGTCACTAGCTCTGCCTTAAACAATGAGTTTTTCACATCAGCAGCTCAGTCTTGGAAAGACAGGCTGGCTGAGGGTTAGTTCAAAAGCTTTCAGTTCATAACTGCAAAATTCAATTCACATTAAAAAAAAAAGCACAACACCAAGGTTTACATTTGCTCTTTTGTGACTCTTCCATTTTTAGGGGAATTCACTCCTGAATTGCAGCTCCGAATGCGCCAAGAAATTGAGAAGGAAAAGAAAGTTGAGCACTGGAAGGAAGCCTTCTTTGAAAACTATTATGGGGAGAAGTAGGTTCTCTGTTTCATTTATAATTTCTTGATCCACTAATCCTACCTAGTTCTCATGAACTTGGACATCATACAGTATTTTGCTAATCTGTCAGTCCAGCTGTTCGGTCTCCACTTGGCAGGTGAAGATCTTTAGCCCCGAATAAGTGTGTTGTAGGTTTGGGGTTGTTTAGAAGACCAATTCTAATATTTTAGCTAAAATTTTAGAATCTCTGTGTTCAGGGAGAATGAGTATGAGGCATGTTTGCTTGGCTTTTCTTGTGAGGACATGTATTGGTGTTATTGCTTTCCCGAGACTCTTAACTCCACCTAATCCCAAGTTTAACCATCACAAATAAGTGTGACATCTTTATCCAATCCTTAACCTAAACCAACTTCTTACTTTAACTGTAAAAACCCCCATGTCTTCACTCTCAGAAAGCCCTTTGAAGGCTTTCAAAGAAAATGAGAGCCAAAAAGAGTTCTCAGTCTTACCAAAGGTCATCTAATCCTGACCTGGCAGAGTTTTTAATAAGATATCAGGACAGGTTTTATTTAATTTTCTTTATATACTGTCCTTGGTGTCCTGTATCAAATGACATCAGTCACTCATGCCTGGTCTAAACAGCCATGGCACAGTCACACACACCTTCAGTTAGTTCACTTTTACAGCTGTCATCTTTTCCATCATCCTCTAGGGGAACTTTAGGGGACATCAGGGAATTATATCTACAAAAACTGGCCTAGGTTACACCCTCCCTTATCTTGCAGTGTAGTATTTTTTTAAATATAAAAAAAAGACTAAAATCTTAGTACTTGTAGTATTTACAAAAGGAAAATGGAACAGTCACTTTTCTTAAGAATATTGATTGAATATCTGTTTCTAAAGGATATTTACTTTCTGTATAACATATTGGAACAGATTAACCAAACAGAGCAAAATAGTATGTCAGTGCAATGCCCAGATAGCGCTCATAAGTGTCATTCGTTTTATGGATGTATGAATTTTTTCCAACATTTTCACTTTTAATGCACAACTTCAGATTAGATTCTGTGATTCAAAGATTTGTCATTTGTTGTCAAGTTTGTTGTTAAAAATTAAGCAATTCATAAGAAAAAGAACAGATTGAAAAGTAAAATACTACAATGAATAAAACAATACTAGCTGATTAATAGTTTTTAGTTTGTTTGGGCTATTGTCATTTTCAAAGCTCTTCTTGTGTATTTTTAAAAAAAAATAATTTAAAAGATAAGTGTTTAATGACTTTTTCCTCATTCAAGAAAGACTTAATTCGTAGATTTATGGGGTTTTTTCTCTCTTTTTCTTTGTCTCCCTTTCTATTGTACAGTTCGGGGCTCAGCTATGAGGAATCCAAAGAGCTGACAAAGGCTGATTTGAATCAGGAGTCTGCCAGGCCTCAGTCGCCCTCTCATCAGACAGGACCTGTCGCTCAAGCACTAGAGGAATCTAAGTGCACCAAGGACAGCAGCCTGACTGATGCTCCTGCAAAAGACGTAAAGCCAGCGCAGACATCGTCACAGGAGCCTCTGAAAGCACTGCCTGCTCAAAAAGAGCCTGTCTTTACTGCAGAACCCATGAAGACGCGACGCTCACAGTATGCTGAGGATCGGAAGATGAATACAACTGCAAATACTGGACTGGTGGCTGCAGTGAGAGCACCAGAGGTTGAGAAACGTGGTGAATGGAGTGCAGCATGTACAGTGCCAGAAAAGGAGCAAAAGGAAGACATGAAGGAGGAGAAAACTGAACGCTCCCAGTTGTCTGTGGACAGCAGCCCTCCACCAAAGGCTAGTTCAGAGTTGAAAGAAGTTCAGTCGGTGTCTATGGTTAAGCCTGCTGCAGAGAGCGAAGAGATCATCTCTGAGCCCAGTGGCTCCTCAGAGCCACTGAAAAGGAAGTCTCTCAGTGAGATAGAGGGGGAATTAACACCAGAGAAAAGACCCCGCATGTCGTCAGTTTCTTCAGTGTCTTCATTCTCATCTGCGTCTCCCTCAGCATCATCCATATCCAGCCCTGCTACACCAACTTCAACAACAAGTCAGAGGGTTCCACCACTAAAGGTAGGAATAAATGTGGCAGCTCAAAGTCTGCTCAGATCACTCTATTTTCTGAGCGGACCTGACAGGTCTGTAGCTTTATCTTTTCAGAGTTGGGAAACTATACTTGCTGAGTATATTGTTAGTCTCACTATGCTCCAAAGACTTAGAGTTTTCCCAGTAAATCCCAGAGTTTGTTGTTTTGTACGTGTGGGAAAATAAAATAGGATACAGCTTGAAGCCTATTTATATTGTTATATGTTTTTTTTTTAATTCATATTTTTTAGATATACAAATGGGAATTCATCTCCGTTTTGTTTTTTTTCCCATTTTGCAGATCCCAGTATCACGGATTCTTCCCTTGCCTGTGTCACCTAGCCAGATCTCACCGAGGACTCCCCTTCCAAGCCCACTTAGTAGCCCATGCCGTACTGGTGCTCGCACTTTGGCAGATATCAAAGCCAAAGCTCAGCTTGCCCGAGCACAACGTGCAGCAGCAGCAGCAGCATCATCTGCTTCAAAGGGGGCAGTGCCAGGCCCAGGGCCAGGTGGAGGCAGTAGTGAGCAGACACACCACTTATCTAGCCCGACATCCCCACAGGGATCTGCTAGGTTAGCAGCCACACAGTTTAGTATATCTTCTCCTTGCCAAGTGGACTCTTTTGGTCCATGTAGCCCAAACCAGTCTCAGAAGTACTTAAGCAAAACTGAAGAAAAACATACAAGTCTTTCTGCTGGTACAGTCAGTACAGGAATCCATAGCGTCCAAAAGAGTTCAAGTGTATCAGCACAACCATCATTGGTGCATGCTTCAAAGGAACAGGAAATCCCATTAACTGCTGGATCAACAACCAGAATCAGCTCCTGCATCCCTGCAAACAACCCGCTGGTCACTCAGCTTCTGCAGGGCAAAGAAGTTCCACTGGAGCAGATCCTCCCAAAACCACTATCCAAGGTGGAAGTAAAGATGTCAAACTTCTCCTCTGGTACTATGGCAAAGGCGTCACATTCTGCTGAGCACAGGGCTGAGAAGTTCAATACATCAGGCCGAGCTGGTGTTTTCTCAGAAAACACAAAACATCACAGGGAACTTCCTGACAAGGAGACTCAGGAGCAGATCCTACAGGCTCTAATGCAGAGGAAAGTCCAACAAAGTCAGCCTTATGGAGGGGGTGTAGGGCCTCAGTCACCTCAGTACAAAGTTCAGCAACTGATGCACGCAGAAGAGCGACAGGATCGATCCAGGATTTCTGTTGGTTTTTTGGGTCGAAGGAGGATGCCAAGGCCTGCCATGACAGGACATTACCTGCTCAATGTCTCCACGTATGGCAGAGGATCAGAGAGCAGGAGACTTCACCTGTCTGCCATTCCAAACACAACTGTAACCAGCACAAAAAGGGAAACCACAGAAGCAGAGGACCAACCAGCCAGGAAGGTTTTTCTGTTTCCTTCTGGGGTCAAAACAGAGCAGCAAAGATGCTCAGTAGGCAAGTCTAATGAACCAGCGGGCTTTCAGCATCACTATAACATAAAGACTGAGCCTGGATCAGAGTATTTTGAAGCTGGTGGTGATAACAACAACACCAGCGCAACCACCAAAGACACCAGCCCCTTTTCTCAATCACACCGAAGGCACCTCGAACTCTGCAATAGTAATCAAGGAAACTCCGAGCCATATCTTACCCACGTGGATCCCAGTCACCAGCGGCCGACTGCCTTTCAATCCCAGAGAACACTCGATAATCAGGAACCCCCGGTAGCGTCACGCTACGGTGGCACTATCAGCATGTCCGTACCTCACACTTTGAACCGCAGCACTGCAGGCACCGGCTCTTCCACATCCTCATCAGAAGCTGATGGTGGTGGCATCCACGGGAGCGTTATGTCCTTCTCAGTGACTGTTACCACCATACCTGCTGGTCACTCATTAGACCACGGTCACCAGGGCGAGCCCTCACCTGAACAGTCATTCATTGAGGGCTCCAACATGGAGGACGTCCAGTCTAAATGCTACTGCCGACTGAAGGCAATGATCATGTGCAAGGGGTGTGGAGCTTTTTGCCATGATGACTGCATAGGCCCCTCAAAACTATGTGTCTCGTGTTTAGTGGTACGATGATATTAAATTAACAGTAACAAAAAATTGGTTAGAGTTGTATTGTCACAGCACAAAGCAGAAGCAAGTGTTTTAGAATCAGTGCATAATAGGCTGAAACATGTTAAGTCACACTCTGGAGAAAACGGCTCTAGGATCGGTTCGTTGTGGGAAAGGCAAGGATTTACACTGGATGGTCTTGTTTTTCCACTAACATCTAAGAAAAGTCGTTTTGTGCAATTGTGTCATAGAAATGCCAATCCATTTTCAATCAAATGTTGTCAGATATGTGAGAAATGAAAACTGGCAGTGTTTGCACTTGGCTAGATTAGTGTGATATATTTTTTTAAATATATATATGCGTCTAGTTTTTTGGTTTTTTTGTTTTGTTTTTTTTTTGAGGAGGGAAAATGAATGTTGCTATTTTTTTTTTTTTTTTTTAAGAACATAATGACTGTTGTGCTTTAGACTGACACTTTTTATTATTGGTCCTAATCAGTTATGGTTTAACGGCAAAAAAAAGAAGAAGAAAAAGGGCGCTAATGATAATCATTTGATGTAGAGTACCTCCTATTTGGCATTTATGCACGTGTGGCAGGGAAATGCAACTTACAGTAACTATTTTATATGAAACTGTACTTTTATTACTGAACACACTCAGATTTAAGAACTAGTAATGAACATGTATAGTTTTAGTAAGAAGATATAGAGTGATTTTTGAATTATACTTTATATAAATCAACCTGACTTGTTTCCGAGGCAAAGAACTCGAAAACCACCTGGATATAAAGTAATAACAGTGTACAGCACTTAAAATCAAACCTAAAGAAAAGAGAATCATATATAATTCCTCTATAATCCTTGTTGGTAAATTAAGATCTTTTCACTTCCAATGAAGGTCTGAAGTCACTTCCTACTGCGTGAATCAGCATTTCCTCCCCAAAAATCAGGTTTGTGGATATGATCTCCCTTGGTGTGGGATTTCTAATGCTTGTGCGTCTGTATAGATAAATCAGCAGTAGCAAACTTAATTTAAACACTCAAGGCGGGTGGAGAAAATGCTGACAATTTTGTTAGTTTGCTGTATATACTTGCTCATGTATGGTATTTGCCTAGATGTAGAAATATTGTTATTTTATTCGTGCTGCACACCTTGCTTGAGCATAACTGGCTCTTTATTTCAAAATGTTTTTCTTTTTTTGTTTTTGTTTTTTTTTTACTGTGGAATGAAAATAGAGAAGAACAGTGAAATATGCTAAAAACAGGTACAATATGTCACCAATACATCAATAAGTGAGTGTAACACTTCACTTTAACGTGGCCTTTTTCCAGGAAATTAATAAGAGAGTGATCCTCTATAATACTGTGGTTGGAAGTATTGTAAAAATGATATTTGTCACATATGTATTTAATCAACAGTAATTTGTCTTTGTGATGCACAACACATTAGTGGTGTCAGCACTTGTTATAACCTTTGCAGGCCCGTTATGATGATTTTAACATTAGTGCTTAGTGCGTACTGACTTGTAAAAAGGCCACTGTGTTTGAAGTGTTATCTCCAAAAGTTTTGTGTTTTTGCTGGTTACAAATATTGACACATCTACTATATTTTAGAATGTCCTGGAGGTACAAAACATGACCTCTTTTATAGCAATTATTTCCGAGGTAGTATGCCAAAGTCACCTTAAAGAAAACAGAAAATAATCAGAAGTTGTTTTTAAATGTCTGACTAGTTAATCAAAGTAATATATTTTAATTAATATATTTTAATATAAAAGATCTATTTGCTAATTGTTTTTGACAAATCAACAGGGTATTTACTACATTAATATATTGGCTGTCCCGTTCTTTCCTATAGTGTTTTTTTTTCTAGGCTGGACAGACCACCGTGCAGAATAATCACTTAAAATAGTCCAGGTATCTGATATTCTGTATGGTCCAGGTTTTTTTAGTGAATCCATTGGTCTATATTTTTCAATGAAGATGTTGTCTAAAGTGTAGCTTTTACTTGTCTATTTGCATCATCACTTTATGAAAAGATAATGTTTTAATGCACCATTTAAAAGTCATTCAATTAATATAGTTTTATTTTTTAGTTGGTGGGTGTGTCTTGTGGAAAGTTGTTTTTGAGGGCTAGAATCTAGCAGGAGTTTCACAAGGCATAGAAATTTCACTTATTAAGGACATAATGATGTTTTAATTAGTGATACAGATGTCTCTTTTATTCTCATTTTTGATCCCCATTAAACATTTACGTCATATTTGGTTGAAAGTGATGTTAGAGTCCTGCTGGACTGGATTGCACTGCAAAAAATATTAACAACAATCATTCTCAATCCTAAAGGCAGCTGACATTTTGGTTAATGATGACTGAAACAAGAGTCCAACAGCAGTCCCAATCAATACTAAGGCTAACTGTGTGTGTGCATTTGGATGTGTAGAGCACATCATATAGAAAATGGCTGGAAGAAGGGAAGGGGGGGGTCTCCACTTTTTTTCCCTTCTTCTTTTAATGTCATGTTTGACACTAGGTGAATTTCTTAAATGTCAGTGTCATTTTGTCTCCATTTAAAACTCCAGGTGAATGTAATATAGTAATCAGAACTTGTAAACAAAGTGTATTTTATCAAAGTAATAGAATATTATGAATAAATAATAATGGAAAAAGTTTCTTCTTTGACTGCATCTTCATTTTATTGTATTTTTTGTCTTTGGTAATATATATATATATATATA